TGCCTCAGGATAGGGCTTTGGAACATGTCCTGGCCATGGCCTCAGAAATCTTAGGTCCCAGCTCACCTGGGCCAGGTGATGATTAATGACTCAAGTCACCTCCCGAGCCTCAGGCTGCAGACAGGCCAGAGCCTCTTAGTTTGTTTGGTTTCTATCTCCACCGCACTCCAACAGGAATGTGGTGCAGCTTACAAAAATACATCTAGAACATCAGTCCAGTCATGAGAAAACAAGACAAGCCCGAGTTGAGAGAAATTCAACAGATACTTGGCCGATACTCTTTTTAAAAGTGTCAAGGTCATTAAAAAAAAAAAAAAAAGACTGAGAAACTATTACAGACTGCAGGAGACTAAAGAGAAATAACCAAAGGCTTTGTGGGATCCTGGATAGGATCTTGGAACAGAAAAGGGCAGTAGCAGAAAAACTGGTGACATTTAAATAGGATCTTTACTTTAGATAATAGTAGTGTATCAATGTTAATTTCTTGATTCTGATAATTGTACTGTGATTAAGTAGGTATGCTAACATTAGGGGAAGCTGAGTGAGGATATAGAGAATACTATTTTTGCAAACTTTAAGTCTAATATTAGTTCTAAAAAAAAGTTTAAAAATTATATATATGTAAAAAACACTTGTTATATAAAGTATTGACCTAAGAAAAATAAATAAACAAAAAAACCTGTAAGTAAGGGATCCATAACTTCATAAAAGGAAATACAGCTAGTGCAACAAATAAACAGTAAGTGGGTGGGGAAATAATGCAAAGTGAGGCATAAGGGCAGGAAAAATAAGATGAAGCCAAAGATAAGGCAAGGCCAGTTACAATTGTCAGAGGCTGACTTCAAATTTGGCTCTGAGCTTCCTAACAGCAAACTCCAAGAAAGAAACACGATTGGTAACATGGTTCTGTGTAAGAGAGAAAAAAAATTACACCCATACATGGGATCCTATGCAGCTCTTCAAAAATTATATTATGGAATACTTAATGATATGGGAAAATATTCATAATATATTAATGAATGAGAAAATAGCAAATCACAAAAAAGTATGTACTATATGAAAGTAGTGGGCCAGTGGATTATGCAAGCTAAAATTTGTTTTTCCTTCTGCTTGTATCAGTTTTCTATTACCGTGTAACAAGTTATGACAAATTTAGTGGTAATTACATTTATTATCTCACAGTGTCACGGGTCTGGAATCTGGGCATAGTTTAGCATGATCTTCTGCTCAGGGTTTCACAAGGCTGTAATTAAGGTGTCAGCCATATCACAGTTCTTATCTGGAACTCAGGATTCTCCTCCTAGCTCATTCAGGTTGTTGGCAGAATTCGGCTGCTTGTGGTTGTAGGACTGAAGTCCCTCTGCTTGCTAGCTGCCAGATGGGGACCACTCTCCATTCCCAGAGGCCACCCAGAGTTCCTTCCAATGTGGCCCCATAGGCATTTCACAACGTGGATATTTGTTTTCTTCCAAGCCAGCAGGAATGCATCTCTCTGACTCTCTCCATCATGCTGGACCTCTAGACCCCCTTTTAAGAGTTCGCCTGATTAGGTCAGCCCCACCCAAAATAATCTCCCTTTTAATGAACTGAACTGATTAGGGATTACTTCTGCAAAAATCCCTTTTGCCGTATAAAGTAACATAATCACAGGAATAATATCCCATCATATCCGTAGGTCTTGCCCATGCTCAAGGAGGAGTATTATACAAGGCTGTGGGTCATTGGGATACATTTTAGAATTATGCCTACCACACCGCTTATCTGCCGTTTTTTGTTTCCTTTTTATAATGCATATGGATTACTTGTAAAAGAAGGAAAAACACAATAAAAGTTATTAAAAAAATAAAAAGCAAATCAGCCTCTCATGAGAAATACAAGTACTGGGGCATAAGAGTTGTTTTTCTCATGGGTCTTCATAGAAAGGATGCTGTGTGAACCTTTGTCAGCTAAATCTCTACTGTAAAGACAGAGTTCCTCAGGGCTGTTTCTTATAACACCCTCAGTGCGGGACACTGTCTTTGTGCTAATGTGCAGTAAAAGTAATTCTGCAAGTGGCCAAAAACGACGGAGTCCAGTTTTTGGCAGAGGGGTCATAATCTAGAACTAACATGTAGCATTGAGGATAAATTGATTTAATCTGGGGGATGAGCTGATTTATTCTGGGGTTCATAGATGTGCTTGGATGAGTTTTTCCATGAATCTCCTAAAACAATATGCAAAATTCTGTGCATGTGTGCATTCGTTTGAGGAAAGGGTCCACTGGTTTCATTGGATTCTCAATAGATTGTTTTTGACTCAAAAAAAAGGAACTATTGCTCTACAGCAGGATTTCTTTATCTTGGCACTATTGACACTTGGGGTGGGATACTTCTTTGTTGTGCGGGGTTGTCCTATGCATTGTAGGATGTTTAACAGCATCCTTAGCCTTTTTTTTTTTTTTTTTTTGTGAGGAGATCAGCCCTGTGCTAACATCTGCCAATCCTCCTCATTTTTCGCTGAGGAAGACTGGCCCTGGGCTAACATCCGTGCCCATCTTCCTCCACTTTTTTCTATATGGGACGCCGCCACAGCATGGCTTGCCAAGCAGTGCATCGGTGCACGCCCGGGATCTGAGCCGGCGAACCCCGGGCCATGGCAGCAGAGCGTGTGCACCCAACCGCTTGCGCCACTGGGCCGGCCCCAACAGCATCCTTAGCCTTTAGCCATAGAGGACAGGCGCACCATCTAGTTGTGACAACCAGAAAAAAAATCTCCAGACATTGCCAAATGTCCCTGGAGGGAAGGGACCTCACTTTGAGAACCACTGATCTTCTGGAAGAATGGAGGAATGACATGTAAGTCAGGTAAGATCTGGATTAAAACAGTCCTGAATGCAGATTGCAGTTCTACCAATTACGATTTTCAGTAAATTACTTAATTTCAGCTTTATCCAAGTTCCTCATATATAAACTAGGAATATAATACAATACGTACCAAATAGGATCTTGATAAAGATCAAAAGAAATAAAGCATGCAAAACCCTTTGCAGAATACCTTAGATGGTAAGCACTTAATAAATGGTAGCTATTAATATTGTTTCCATAGTTGAGACCATAGTATTTCCTCACATTCTTCACTTATTCGTTCAATAGATATTTATTTTAACTGGTGTCTGTGTGTCAGGTCTTTCGTAACGAGCTCTATCTGAATTATTCCTTCTCAAACCCTTATCTGGTAGGTACTATTATCATCTCTGTTTATTCTTTGTGAATGGCACTTTTAATGCCAGCATAATATTCCATCACATCTATTTTAATTCTGGCCCTGGCTTCCCTTCTGAGATCCAGACCCATATGGACATCCAGGTCTGGATGTCCCCCCAGGAACATTCAATTTGGCATGTTTAGCCAATCAGCACGGTGCCTAGCACCTAGTAAGCTCTCCATAAAAGCGAGCTATTACTGGCCATCAATATCATTTTTAGCAGCTGCTGTGTGATCCACCTCCTCTTCCTACTCCTCAGTGGGTTCCCAGAGCCTCTTATTTTCTGTCAGCAGCCTTGGCCCTGGGTTAAAACCCTGATTTTTTGTCCCTGTAGGGAGACTATAGGAGAATCCAATTCTCCCTCCTGCAAGTAAGAACTGAAGCGATGAAAATGAAGACACTCCCACACCAAGCCCATATTGCCCTGAACAATCTTTTGGTGGGGAGAATTTGCTAGCAGTAGACAGACATAATGTTCCACCACAGCAGCCCTGCTGAGCGTGCCAGCAAGTGACTCCTGGGGCCTGGCTGGTGCTTCCTGGTGCTGTAGGCGCCCATGGGGAAGAGCCAGACTTATACTATTAGCATAGTTATAGCAAGTGTCTGCTGAGTGCTCCAGAACTGTAGTTCATATTTCTCCGGGCAGCAACAGGAGCAATTTGGAAGCCACAACCAGGGAAGCAGGGCAGTGCAGTGGTAATACCCAGTGGGATCGCCCTGGGTCCCAGCTTGGCCTCTCATTATCTGGGTGACCGGGAGCAAGTGGCTCTGTCATGCTGAGCCTCTGTTTCTTCAGCTGTAGGGTGGGGACGATGCTAATGAGGGTTAACACTCATGGAGCCCTTACCGTTCAGTTAAAACTCATGAAATTGTCTTTATTCAATTATCTTAAAATAGAATTTATTTTTTAAGTACATAAAGTTATAATCCCCCATCATACACACACGTTATAACCTTTGATGACATTTAAAAAAAATAAATGCACGTTAATGGTTCGAAAATGGAAACCACAGAGAACAAAATAAAAAATGCTTCCCTTTTTCGGCCGTTTTTGATCTACAAAAACAGCAATTTCATAGGATTCAACCTAGTATGCGCCAGCCACCGTTCTAAAGCTTTATATATATTAACTCACTTAAATTTCTCAACAACTCCATGAAGTAGGTACAATTTTCACCCCCCACCCCTTTGGTAATATTTCTCCTAAAGAGAGGCAGAAGGATCTGGAGGAGACTGCTGGCAACCTAAGCGGCCTCCACAACTGACTCAAAAGTTTTTGAGAAACATAGAGGTCAATAAATGTAATTAATTAAATGCCAAACAGGATTAGCCTCCGGGTGTCCGAAACACGACGTCCTGGGGCGCCACACACGGCGCGTACTCGGTCCATAGGGGCCAACTCCCACGCCCCTGGACCAGTCTCTACGCGGTTTCCCGGGAAAGGCGCGCCGGGCTCCGCCGCCTCAACCAGCCTTGCTAGAGTAGGCGTACCCCTACGAACAAAAGCGTTCGGAGTGACTGCCGCTATAGCCACTCAACGCCGAGCCCAGGCCTCCGCCGCCGGTCAGAGCGGAACTTTCAATTGGTGGAGTCGTTCTGAAGAAGGCTGGACGGAGCAGGGAAAGTCCCGCCTTCCTCAGAGTTCTCAGCCAACCGTGGCGTCTGGGCGGAGGCCGCCTGGTAGGGTGCGCTGTGTGTAGCGATCTGGGGGGCCTGAGGGCGGGGCGGGGAGCAGGCCCGGGGCTGCGGGGAGGGGACGCTTCCCGCGGGTGCGCGGAGTGAGGACGGTGACAGCCACGCGCGCACGTGCGCGCCCGGCTGCGGCGCGGCCCCGAGACCTCCGTCGGCCGCTGAGAGGCGCCCGGAGTCTGGGCCGCCGCTGTCTAGGGGCTGATACACGGGCGTCCCCAGCGTCCTCGGCCCGAGTCCCGGAGCGCCGGGCCGTACCCGCCCCGTCGGTCCGCGCTCGCGTTCCCTGCCCGCGGCCGTCAGGGCCCGCCTCCCAAGTCCCCTCTCCGTTCCCGGGGCAGGGTCCTCGCGGTCCATGCTGGCCGCTGGGGGCCCGCGCCACCCAGACAGCTCCCGGGCCGGCCGGCCGGCCACCATGGTGGCTCTGAGGCCTGTGCGGCTCCTCCAGGGGGGCTAACAGGCCCAGAGCGCAGGCTTCGGGGCACGAGGGTCCCGGGCCTGAGCCCCGCGCCATGGCCGGGGCCATCGCTTCCCGCATGAGCTTCAGCTCACTCAAGAGGAAGCAGCCCAAGACGTTCACCGTGCGGATCGTTACCATGGACGCCGAGATGGAGTTCAATTGCGAGGTAACCGGCCGGCAGCCCCGACGGGCTGCGGAGAGGGGTAGCCCAGAATCCCCTCGCCGGGCCCCACCAACCCGGGCGCCCTTGCCGCGGTGACAGTCGAGGTGGAAGCTTGAGGGATTCTGCTTATATCATCTCTGGGTATAGGTAGAGACTGCTAGAACCAGAAGGAACCATCTAGGCCCAAATCCTCAAGTTAAAGATAATTGCTGCTTTTTTCAATTTTGGGTTTGGAAGCACTTCTTGAAGGTTTTCATTCATTGTTACTGCAAGAGACTGGAAGCATCCGTGGTAGCGAATTCTAGTTTTCAGTGGCAGGTTCAGCTCCAGCTCTATAGAGTTTTTACTTCATTAGATAATATTATGTACCCCTGGTATTAAACGTTGCATGTCGTTTTATTGGAAAGTCTGTACTTGTTTCTCTTTTCCAAAACTTAAATTTTCTGGAAAAAAACTGTTTGAGGAATGAGATGGTGTCTTAAACTTTCCATACAGTTTCTATCATGATGATAAGTTATCATATATTGAATACTTTCTAAGTGCCAGGCATTCATACATTTAATTCTCACAGCAACCCAATGAGGTAGGTACCCCAAACCATATATCTAGTAAATGGTGAGGTAAGGTTTTGAATCAAGCTCTTAGCCAATACAGTACTGCCTCTCAAGTAGTTTAGGTCCTTGCTACTCAAAGGGTGGTCTATGGATTGGCATTGGCAGCAGTGACCTAGGTGAGGGGTTGGCAAACTTTTCCTGTAAAGGGCCACATAGTAATTATTTTCAGCTTTTTGGGCTGTAGGGTATCGGTTGCAACTACTCACCTCTTCAGCTCTACCATGTAGCACAAAAGCAGCCTTAGACAGGGTCAGCTTCCATCAGGACAGCGTGAGGAGCTCCACTGAGCTGGTCCCCTGTAAAACTGGTAAAAATTATTTGAAAAAACAATAATTTAAACCCTCTGGAAATGGTCCTAAGGGCAAACATCAAGTGAAGAAACATCTTTTCAAGAAAATCTGTCAAGGGGCCAGCCTGGTGGCACAGCGGTTAAGTGCTCACGCTCTGCTGCAGTGGCCTGGGGTCTGTAGGTTCGGATCCCAGGCGTGCACCGACGCACCGCTTGTCAAGCCATGCTGTGACGGCATCCGATATAAAGTAGAGGAAGATGGGCACGGATGTTAGCCCAGGGCCAGTCTTCCTCGGCAAGAAGAGGAAGATTGGCATCAGATGTTAGCTCAGGGCTGATCTTCCTCACAAAAAAAAGAAAAAAAAGAAAATCTATCAAAATTTGGTAAGAAAGGTGAGAGTTTGTGGTCTTTGAACCAAGACTGCTACCACCCTCCCTGCTCCCAGCTCAGCAAGGTAGAAATTCCACTCTAGACTGCTGTAACCCAGAACACAGGGCTCCCTCTACTCCTGGCTCCCAGTCAGATGGCTTTCTTCCCAGGAGGAGCAGGACTTCAGAGCTTCTCATCTTGCCCAAGGCTACTTGTTGCTGAGGCTAAGTCCTGGGTGTGTGAAGTTGAAAGATGGAACTTGCTTCTTCCACCCAGCTCCTACTTATGGAATGGGGGCTGTACCCTGGTGGCACACTGAGAATACTGGACCCCAGTTGTTCTTGTCCCTAACCTCAGTTTGTGAGATGGTAGTTCCAGCCAGGAGAGGCAAACTGGAAAGACTTCAGTTTAGTGTGTCCCCCATCCCCCCTTCCTCCAAGGGCTCAGAGATTTTGCCTGGAGGGAGAAGCAGGCTTTAAAACCCTTGGTTTCTAATCTCTTCCCAAAGGTAGTGACTTCATTTGCAACAAAGCAGAGAAGTTTATGCTTAAGGGTACTCTCAGGAACAGTGGAGGTTTTGGTGAAAGACAATTGGGAGGACATTTGTAGATCTAATGAAGATAACAGCCTAGACTGTAGGCTAAGTAGTTTGCAGGAGAGAATCAGGGAATAAGACAACTGGGAAGAGCCCTCTTGGCGTCAGAACAAATATCAAACACTAATTTCAGAAACTGTTTCCTCAAAAAGCCACCTTTTGATTGGATTACTTTGTAGAGCAAATTACACCCTGAGCATTGTTGAAAATAATAGAACAATATACCACAGTGAGTGGAGTTTAACAGCTGGGCATGATCAGGGAAGGAGAGGAACAGACCCCTGCTAAAACCACTGTCATCCAGGGTGACTGTGGGCATACCCAGAGATGCACCTCCCTGAGGAGCAACAACATAGGCCTTAACACTGTATGAGGGAAATTGATTTCACTAAAACAGTCTCGCCAGTCACTAAACAAATAAACAGGCAAATAATAATAATAAGCCCTGGAGCGGGGGGGCAGTCCTCAGAGTTGCTATAATATGTTATCTAAAATGTCTAGTTTCCAATGAAAAATTATGAGGCATGCAAAGGAACAGGGAAGTATGATCCGTACGGTGGAAAAATCTAGCAACAGAAATTGCTTGTGAGAGCTACTAGATGTCAGATTTAACAAAAAAATTTCAAAGTATACATTATAAATATGTTCACAGAACTAAAGGAAAGCATGATTAAAGAAGTAAAGGAATGTATAAAGATATTTTTTGCATCAAATAGAGAATATCAATAAAGAGATGGGAATTATAAAAAAGAGCCAAATTAAAATTCTGGAGTTGGAAAGTACAATGACTGAAATAAAAGATTCACTAGAGGGGTTCAAGTAGATTTGAACTGGCAGAAGAAAGAATCAGTGTACTTTAAGATAGATTGATAGAGATTATGCAAGCCAAAGAGTAGAGAGAAAAAAGAATGGAGAAAAATGTACAAAGCCTCAGAGAAATGTGAGAGATCATTGTTACCAACATATGTGTGATGGGAATACCAGAAGGAAAGGAGAGAGAACAAATATTCAAAAAGATAATGGCTGAAACTTCCTAAATTTATTGAAAAACAATAACCTATACATTCAGGAAGCTGGGTGAACTCCAAGGAGGATAAACACAAAGAGATTCGCAGACACGTCATATTAAAAATGCTGAAAGTCAGAGACAAGGGGGAAATCTTGAAAGCAGCAAGAGAAAAATGAGTTGGCACTTACAAGTGAACCCCAATAAGATTAACAGTTGACTTCTCAGCAGAAACTGTAGAGGCCAGAGGCAGTGGGATAACATTTTCAAAATGCTCAAAGAGAAAACTTGTCAACTAAGAAACTTTTATCCAGTACAGCTGGCTGTAGATGAAAAGGACATTTCAAAAATGAAGGTAAAATAAAGACTTTCCCAGATAAACAAAAACAGATTTTTTGCTTAAAGATCTACCTTACAAGAAATACTAAATGAAATTCTTCAGGCTGAAAGCAAGTGAACTCAGATAGTAATTCAAATCCACATGAAAAAAAACAGCGTTGGTAAAGGTGATTATATAATTATAAAAGATAGTATAAATGCGTATAATTTAATTATACGCAATCAGTATAAATTAACTGATTTTGTGTGTGTGTGTGTGAGGAAGATCAGCCCTGAGCTAACATCCATACCAATCCTCCTCTTTTTGCTGAGGAAGATTGACCTTGGGCTAACATCTGTGCCCATCTTCCTCTGCTTTATATGGGATGCCGCCACAGCACGGCCTGACAAGCGGTGCCTTAGTGCATGCCCGGGATCCGACCCCGGGCCACCAGCAGCGGAGTGCATGCATTTAGCCGCTACATCATGGGGTCGGCCCCTCTCTTAACTGATTTAAAAAGTGATACTGTTGGGCCTATAACATATAGAAATGTAATATATATGTAATATACTTGCCAATAATAGTGCAAAGGAGGTGGGTGGGAGCAAAGCTATAATGGGCTAAGGAAATGACTATAGATGGTAAAGTAATAACCATAACAACGTATTGTTGGGTTTGTAACCTTAATAGATGTAATATATATAACAGTGATACTACAAAAAAGAGGGAAAGAGGGGGGCCAACCCGGTGGTGTAGTGGTTAAGTTTGTGTGCTCCGCTTCAGCGTCCTGGGGTTCACGGGTCCGGATCCTGGGCGTGGACAGACATGTTGCTTGTCAAGCCATGCTGTGGCGGGGTCCCATATAAGGTAGAGGAAGAGGGGCACGATGTTAGCCTGCTGCCAGTCTTCCTCAGCAAGAAGAGGAGGATTGGCAACAGATGTTAGCTCAGGGCTAGTCTTCCTCACAAAAAAAAAAAAAAAAAAGAGGGAAAGAGAGTAGGGCTCTATAGGAGTAACATTTCTATATATCATTGGAATTAAGCTAGCATAAATCTGAAACTGATTCTAATAAGTCAGGATTATATGGTAAACCCTAGAGTAACCACTTAAAAAGAAAATCTTAAATACATAGTAGAAAAATATCATTAAAGAAGTTCACATGCTTTATTAGAAAATATTCACTTAATGCAAAAGCAAGTAGTAAATGAGGAATAGAGAAACAAAAAAAGACATAAGACACATAGCAAACAAAAAGTAAAATGGCAGTTGTACACCAAATAATTAGATAAATTAAATGAAATAGACAAACTCCTAGAAAGACGCTAACTACTAAAATTGACTCGAGAAGAAAGAGGCAATCTGAATAGACCTATAACAAGTGAAGAGAGTAAATTAATAATAAAAATACTACCCACAATGAAAAGCCCAGGCTCTACCCAGTAGAGGTCCAGAGAGCTTCACCACTGAGTTCTACCAAATATTTCAAGAGCAATTAATACCAATTCTTCACAAACTCTTCCAAAAGAATAGAAGAGGAGGGACCACTTTCTAATTCATTTTATGAGGCCAACATTACCTTGATACCAAAACCAGACAAGAAAACTAGAAACCAATATATCTTATGAATATGGAAGCAAAAGTCCATAACAAAAATACTAGCAAACTGAATCCAGCAACATATAAAAGGAATTATATACCATAATTAAGTGGGATTTATTCCAGGAATGCAAGGTTGGTTTAACATCTGAAAATCAATTAATGTATCATACCAATAGAATAAAAAACAAAAATCCACGGTCATCTCAATTGA